CTCCCGCCTCAGCACCACGCGGGGACAGCAGAGGCGGCCCCGGGTTTGTGTAGAGAGGCTGGGATGGCAAGATAAGCTAGGGAACAAATACAGTAGAGACTTCAGCCAGCCCCTTCCTAATTCTAGGCAGATTATTTTGGGAAGCTTTTTCACATTGTAACTCATATCTGTACCACAACTGAAGTGTGAAAAATGCTAAATCAGAATTAATGCAATTTTTAACTGCACCTTAGATAAGCTACTGAAAAATAAGATTAAATCATACATCCTTATGAAACTAAAAGAATCAGTGAAAGGTGGGAAAGAGGTCAGAGGCCACGTCGGGCCGAGTCCTGCAAAACCTTTGAACTGCGGACAAGATCCCATCTTTGCAGCAATCGCCTGCAAGGACGACTCTCGCCTGAGGCAGTGGCCGGGCTCTCCGGGCAGCTCCCGGTCACACCGGGTAACCAGGCAGCTGTTTGTGCCGCTCACGAAGGCCTCGGCGTGCTGCAGCCCACACACGGCCACCGAGGCTTAGACAACACAGCCAAACCAGGTGGCACATTAAGGACAGAAAAAGATTTGATGCAGATGAAGGGAAGTGGGAGGTTTCAAGAAATTCTTCCTTTCGAGAAACCCCGATAAATCTAAGCTTATTCAAACCATATGGAGCGAATGCAATCAGCCGACTCTCCATACTGCACAGCCGCAACTCTTGTGCCAGCAAACCAGCTTCACCCTTGGTAGTCTTCTCCTTTCCCGCAGGCTTTGCTCGATCCAGAGAACAGCATGGTTAAAAAGACCAGAGAGGTAGATTACAGTCATGATTAAAAGCAGATTAGTCATCTAGGCTTCGATTTAAAAAACAGATTCCAGAAGATGCCAAGAAGTTGCTGCTTCCAAAACTAGCTTTTTCAAAAGTCTTCTCCCTCCAGAGCGAGTGTGAGTGCGTGTCCCTGAACAGAGCTCAAAAGAATTGCTACATTATTCTCCATCACGGGACACCGGTATTGCTGTTGAGCTGTAGTAGGCGACGTGAAAGGCAGACTGCAGGATGGTGCTTGTGCTCTCGGATGTGTGGGAAGCTACTTCCGAAGGTACCTCTGGGCCAGGATAGCTGCGTCCAAAGGGTTCATGGGCTGGGCGTCATGGCCCAGGCGTCGCACTGGGGGGATGTTCCCAAACTGCCGCTTCTGTAGGAAGCTCTTGGCCTCATGCAAGGTGTTCTTCTCCTCAGCCAAGAGCAGCTGCTGCCTCATGTAGTTCTCGAACTCGTACTGCGAGCACTCCTCCGTCACCTTCACCTGCCAGAGAACCACCCCGTCAGAGCCACAGCAGCAAGCAACGGTCCCATAACTCCACTCCGATGGTCCTGAGCTACCACGGGATAACTGGAGTCTTAATGCAAGAACCAGACCTGCTGCCAGACATACAGACAGGACTCCCCACGAGTCATTAGTGCCACCAGGAAGAGAGGTCTGGAAACCTCAGTGGCTCTGTCCTGACACAGCTCATCCCAACCCTGCCAGATATTCAGCGGCTGCAGCTGTCTGACCCCAGCTCTCACATCCCCCCCCCAGCCCAGCGGAGGGGATTTCTGACAGCAACACCAACCACGGCATCGCAGGCAAAAGCTCCCAACAAGGCTGTCCCTAGGCAGTGAGGTCACCAGCCGTCACTCCCAACATAAAATATGCTGGCAAGAAAACAGGATGCTCGCTCCCATCACAGAACTCACCGGGGAGTCTGAGCCAACACTGCTACCTCTTCCCAGCTCTCCCAGCGCACGCAAGCTCTCAGCTGTGTGCGAGGGAGCGAGCGCTGCTCGGAGAGGAGCAAGCTGCCCCTCAGCCAGCTCCGGGGCCGGCGAGCTCACTTCCAGGCAGCACGGCCAGCTGGATGTGACTCCTCGTCCCAGCAGCATGAGCCTTTCCTTCCGCTGCACAAGATGGCAATGGATTCGGCCACTTTGTAGAGCAGCCGCCACAGCTGGGTCCTCACCGCCCTCCCCTCATCAGCTTGGGTGCTACAAGGGGCTGCCATCTCTTTCCATTACAGACAGACTTGGCACAGAAAAGCAGTTCTGTGAAAAGGAAAGTAGGAAAACCTACCTCTTGTGGGTTTTCAGGGTTAGCCACTTGGTCATCAATGTCTGGCACCACTTGCAAAGGGCCACTCAGCGAGGACATAGACTGCCTGGGGGGAGAGCACAGCGTCAGGGATCCGGAGCACAGCCCCGGGCTCGCCCAACCTCACCCAACACCCTGGCTAGGGCAATCCCACCTGACTGGCCATGGCTGGACACCAGAGTGTGGCACAGCACTGTCTGGATGCCACACTGGCTACTGGTACTAAAAGGACGCTATTCCAAATTCAGCTTCCCCGGTATGAAATCATGTTATAATCCCCAGAGCCGCTTTTTGTTTTTAAACAGGATGTGGAACTTTAACTCTTGCATAGGTAGGAGAGAAAACAGCCACAGCTCCAAAAATCACAGACTTCACTGCTGACTCAAGAAGCAGCGCAAGAACTTCACCCGGGCATGCTGTGCAGCACAGACAGAAGGTCACAGGGCTGACAAGAGAGGGCTGCACCAAGCAAACACCGCCAGGATCCATTTCTGCTGGAGTGTGCTACTGGAATCTCATCCTCGTTGGTTCATGCCAGTCCTGGAGTCAGATTTACCCTCAGAAGGCATCCCCACCCTGCACCTGTAGTGTTCCCACCTGTAATGGCATCTCCTGCTCTTCCCCTCTAGAGATCTCATGCCTGCTTTTACTTAATGGATAAAGCAGGGCTAATTACAAGCTTGCAGGAAGTGTCTGCATTTGGCTGCATCTGTTTGTACATGTAAGATATTCCTGACCATTAGACTTTCTTTAAAAATCAAATCTGGGGAGCACGAGGGGGGCACAGCAAGAAAGGCCCTCCTGTGCCCCAGTACTGTTTTATAATGTTATTGCTTTACAGACTCCAACCTTGGTCACAATGACAAGCATTTGTACAGGCCACTCCGGCTGTATCCATCAGCAGCCACCAGTGGTTGAGACACAGGATTTAAAGACTTTCTTTGCAGTTCTCACAGATCATCCTCTGGTGTCCTGTCTGGCAGCAGTCTGCTGGCTGCAGCTGGAATAACACAGCCTGTGGCCAGAGACCCCATGTTCCCATCTCTCTCCTCACATAGCACATACCATGATGCTATGATGGAGCTGAGAGAATCCAGCACTTCAGAAGCTGTCAGACGCTGCTGCGGATCCAAGACCAGCAGTTTTCGGATCAAGCACACAGTGTTTTCTGAGACCCGTCCATCCCTGGGAGAGAGAACGCGTGGTGAGCCCGAGTGCCAGAGGTAGGCAAAGGCAGCAGCAGGATGGACGTGCTGGGAGCACAGGTCAGGAACTAGAGGAGCCACCACTGCTCTGACCGAGACCCCAGAATTAACCAGGAGGTTGATTCCCTGTCCCTGCAGCATGGGGCCTTTCTCACCTTTGCACAAGATGTCCCGGCTCTGCTACTGCTTCCTTGGTGTCTACTGCATACAGTCTTTGTTCTCATTACTGCTGCGACCCTCAGGGGCTTCAAGTGAAGCCCCTGCAGCTCCGGCTGTCCCCGTAAGGCCCAGAGCACCGCCCGCACAGGCACTAAGAGAAGGGCCTCCCCGGGACAGGCTGTACTCACTCAGGGATGGTGTACTCGGCAGCCTTGATTTTGCGGAAAAGCTCCTGAGGTATGCTGTCATAGAAGGGGAACTGGCCATAGAGCATGGTGAAGAGCACCACACCCAACGCCCACATGTCACTGGGTTTTCCACGATACGGCCGTCCTGCAGGGAGCAAGGAGAGACAAAAGCAACAGACTTTACGACACTGCTCACCTCTGCAGCCCACCACCAGCAGTAAAGGCACTGAAGCAACCTCTCCATGTGATCCTTTTTTCTAAGCATTAATCAAAAAACGCTCAAGACTTCCTATCGCAAGACACTAAGAACCTC